GGTGGTGGTGGTGGGTTGTGGTGGTGGTGGTGGCGGTGGTGGTGGTTTTGGTGGTGGAGGTGGTGGTGTGGTGGTTTGTTGTGGTGGTGGTGGTGGTTGTGGTGATGGGTGGTGATGGTGGTGGTGATGGTGGTGGGTTGTGGTGGTGGTTTGTGGTGGTGGTGGTGGGTTGTGGTGGTGGTGGTTTGGTGGTGGTGTGGTGGTTGTTTGTGGTGGTGGTGGTGGTGGTGGTGGATTGTGGTGGTGGCGGTGGTTTGTGGAGTTGGTGCTGGTGCTGGTGGTGGTGGTGGCGGTGGTGGTGGTGGTGTCGTGGTTTGTGGTGGTGGCGGTGGGTTGCGCTGGTAGTAGTGGTAGTGGTTGTGGTGGTGGTGGTGGTGTGGTAGATTGTGGTGGTGGTAGTGGGTTTTTGTGGTGGTAGTGGTGGTGATGGTGAGTTGTGGTGGTAGTGGTTGTGGAAGTGTGGTGGTGGTGTGCTGGTGGTTTGTGGTGGTTGTGGTGGGTTGTGGTGGTGGCGGTGATTTGTGGAGGTGGTGCTGGTGGTGGTGGTGGTGGTGGTGGTGGTGGTGGTGGTGGTGGTGTGGTTGTTTGTGGTGGTGGCGGTGGGTTGTGCTGCTAGTAGCGGTGGTGGTTGTGGCGGTGGTGGTGGTGGTGTGGTAAATTGTGGTGCTGGTGGTGGTAGTTGTGGTGGGTTTTTGTGGTGGTGGTGGTGTTGGTGGTGATGGTGAGTTGTGGTGGTGGTTGTGGTGGTGGTGGTGGCTGTGCTGGTGCTTGTGGTGGTGGTTGTGTGGTGGGTTGGTGGTCGTGGTGGTCGTGGCGGTCGTGGGTTTAGGCGGTGGTGGTGGTGTTAGTGGTGTCGGCGGTGGTCGTGGTGATAATCGTCGCTGCGTCCCCGCCGTCGCCGGCGCCAGCGCTGGCGCTGCTGGCCGCCGCCAGCGCTGCTGGCCGCCGCCAGCGCCGGCGCCGGCGCCAGAGGGGAAGGGGGTTCACCCCCCCCTGGCGCTCGGGGGGGGTGGTTCAACCCCCCCCCCTTTTGGCTGCCTCTGGTCATCGTTGCTGCGTCCCCGCCGTCGGCGCTGCTGGCGGCCGCCAGCGCCGGCGCCGGCGCGGGGGGGGGAGGGGGTTCGGGAGGGAGGGGGGTTTTGGGGGGAGGGGTGTTCCCCTGGTTTTGACCGACGGCGCCGAGTGTTGGGGGGGGGGGGCCACCCCCCGGTTCGAAACGCGCCGCCGAATGTTCCCAAGCCGTGCGCCCGTGAAACGCGTTCTCTCCGAACTCACCATCGCGATTTTCACCTGCGTAAGTCTTGCTGCGCCCTGCGTCCTGCGTAAGTCGTGCTATCGCTCGAGATTTCCTTGCGATTTATGCAGGACGCACACTTCAGCAACCCGCCTGTTCGACCTGGCCTCATGGGCCCGCTTTCCCGGCCCGCCCGCTAGGGTCTGCCCGCCCGATCTGCCCGTCTGGTTTTGCCACGTCCTTTATGTTTCTAGCCCCCCTCCTGCCGCTCTTTCTGGTGTTCCATCCTCCTCCCTCCTCCTTGCTCCTTCCTTCCATCCGTCCTGTTTTCCCCTTCCTTATGGGCTGCACGAAACACACGTTGCAGGTCTGAAAGAGACATACCCCCAAGGGGGTACGAACGAAAACGAAGAGGGTGGGCTTCGAAGGTTCGGGATGTACGTGCTGAGTGGCGCGCGAGCGGATTAGAACCAATAAGATCGAGCGTTCTTAGAGCGATTGTTGTTGTTATTGTTGATGAGCTCCCACTGTTGAAGAGCAGTTATTGTTGATCCCCCCTCCAGTGCGCATTGTATTTGTTCAATTGATGTGCCCTTCCTGGGGCTCGCACCCTGTCTTTTATTAGGGAAAGTCTTGGCTCTCCGAATTGGACCCCCCTGGCCCCCGAGTTACAACAACGTCTCCCGCCGAATACTTCTGCACACATTATTTCCAAATCACGCTCTCGCGCAGGATGTCCTCACAATGTATGCAGACTTCGCGCTCTCGCGCGGAACTTCCTCGCAATGTATTCAGACGCCGCGACTTCGACACTGAGGAATCACGCTGTCGCTTTGGCCCACTTCACGATTTACTTGGGAATCGCGTTGATTTTCGAGATTCGCGATTCATGCAGGACGCACACTTCAGCAACCCGCCTATTCAATATGGCCGCCTGGGCCCGCCTTCCCGACCCGCCCGCCAAGGTCTGCCCGCCCGATCTGCCCGTCTGGTTATGCCACGTGTTTTCTGTTCCTAGCCTCTTTCCTTCTACGCTCTCTCTCTCTCTCTCGTGTTTCATCCTCCTCCCTGTCCCTTGCCCCTTCCTTCCATCCGTCCTCTGCTATCCGTCCTTATGGGCTGCACGACAGACACGTTGTAGGTAAGAAAAATGTACACCCAGGGGGGTACGATCCAAGACGAAGAGGGTGGGTCGCGAGGGTTCGGGGTATACGTGTTGAGTGGCCCGCGAGCAGATAAGGGCGACCGTCTTACATTGACTGTTGCTCTTGAAGAAATATGATTGTCACTATTGAAGAATAATAATTGTTCATCCCCCTCCCAATGCGCATTGTATTTGTTCAATTGAAAGCACTTCCCGGGGCTCGCACCCTGTCTTTTATCAGGGAAAGTCTTGGCTCTCCGAATTGGACCCCCATGGCCCCCGAGTTACAACAACAACATCAACAACAACATCAACAACAACCACGGCCCCCTCTGGGTATTTATGCACAATGTATTCCCAAATCGCGCTCTCGCGTGGGCCTTTCTCGCACTTCATTCAGGCGCCGCGCCCTCGACACTCAGGAATCACATTCTCGCTCTGGCGTTTCTCACGATCTGCTTGGGAATCGCGTTATTTTTCGGGCCCTCCTTTTCGGTCCATGCCGTATTCACTCTTCAGCTACCCGCCTGCTCGACCTGGCCGCTTGGGCCCGCCTTCCCGACCCGCCCGCTAGGGTCTGCCCGCCCGATCTGCCCGTCTGGTTCTACCATGTGTTTTCTGCTCCGAGCCCCCTCTCGTGTTAATTCCGTGTTCCATCCTTTTCCGTCCACCTTACATCCGTCTTTTTCTGTCTCCAGGGCTGCACCAGTTACACGCGGCAGGTAAGGAAGGTATACCTCCGGGGGGGCACGATCGCAGACGAAGGGGGCGGGCGCCGGGGTTTGGGATCTACGTTTTGGATGGCACGCGAGCAGGTAGGATCGAACAGTCTTAAACACATTGTTGTTGATGGTTTATAACATATAACAAATATTGCTAATCCCCCCTTTCTTCGAACAGTTGTTCTTTATAGTCCTGCTCCCGGGGCTCGCACATTATTTTTGGTTAAGGGAAAGCGAGGGGTCACCAAACTGCTTTGTTGGGCCTGTTGGGCCTCGAACTACAACAACACTGGCTCCCGCTTGAAATGTCTTAGCATTGTATTCCCAAATCGTGCTCTCGCGCTGGACTTTCTAACAAGTGATAAGGGAATCGCGCTCTCGCGTGGGACTTCCTCGCGATTTCTTCAACAGCCGCGCCTTCGACACTCAGGAATCAAGCTCTCGCTGTGGATTTCTGGACGAGTTATTTGAGAATCGCACTATCGCTCGAGACTTCCTTTCGATCCATGCAGGACGCACGCTTCAGCAACTGGCCTAACCCTTGTCCATTCCTTCCATCCGTCCTCTCTTCCCTTTTGCTAGGGGTCTAAGTGTACTTTGGAGGTAAGGAAAATATACCCTCAAGGGGGTACGGTCGAATGCAAAGAGGGCGGGTATCGAGGGTTTGAGATATACATGTTGACTGACAAGCAAGCAGTTAAGAGCGAACAGTCTCGGACTGATTGTTGTTGTTGTTGCTGTTGTTGTTGCCGTCCCACGCGCGACCCACCCGCGACCCACCCGCGACCCACTCGCGACCCTCCCGCGACCCACCCGCGACTCACCCGCAGCCCACCCGCGACCCTCCCGCGACTCACCCCGCGACCTACCCGCGACCCATCCGCCATCCAACCCGCGTCCGACCCCGCGACCTATATGCGACCCACCCACGACCCACCCCGTGCCCGTCCCTTCAGTCTAACCGCAAATTCCGGGATGAGATGGTGCATATGTATATATACATATATACACATTTATACAGACAGACAGACAGACAGACAGACAGACAGACAGACAGACATACACATACATACATACATACATGCATGAATGTATGCATGCATGCATACATTTAGATTCATATATACATATGTACATACGTACATACGTACATACTTACATACGTACATACGTACATACATACATACATACATGCATACATACATACATGCATGCATGCATGCATGCATGCATGCATACATACGTACATACATACATACATACATACATACATACATACATACATACATGCATGCGTGCATGCGTGCATACATACATACATACACACATACACACATACACACACATACATACATACATACATACATACATACATACATACATACATACATACATACATGCATACATGTAGATTGCGGTGCCCCTGCCCCTGGCGGATTGAGCCGATCTCATCAGCGCAACTGTGGCATACTGAGGATTTCTGGGTGTGCTGTGGACAAGTCGGGAGCTATCGGGCCCACTCGGGAAAGCGCGGTGCCGTCACGGGACGTAGTGGGACCGTCTCGGTAGGCCTTGCGGCGGGCTCCAGAGGGTCAGGGGGCGGCCGTGGGTTGGTCCTTGGGGCATCAGCGCCGGTGCTGCATCCCCACATGAGTAGGAGGCCTCACGCACGCCAGCCGCTGCAGGTGGTGGTTGCGCGTGAACTGCCTTCTTCCACTGGCCTTCATGGGTGCGGAGCAGCCAGGAGGAATTGAAGGGGGTGAAGATAAGGAAGAGGAGCAGACGGAGGAGGATGAAGAAGGAGGATTAAGGGGGGCAGGAGAGGGGGTGAAAGGAAGGAGAAGAGGCACGGTGCGAAGCGGAGACCCCCCATCTTGGCGAGCAAAGAGCCAGCTCCCAGCGACGGCGGCCCCAACGTGGCGGTGCGCTCTTCGGACTTGGCCGGCTTCGTGGCAGGGGATTCATCGCGTTTCGCGTGAGCACGTCGCGGAAGGGGTGGGAGATGATGAGGTGTTGGGGCTGACGAGTTGGAAGGAGAGTGCTGTTGAGTTGGGAGGAGGAGGAGGAGGAGGAGAATGATGAAAAGAGGGGATGAGGAGGAAAGAAGGGAAGGAAGGACCCAGAAGGATACGTGCTAGGAAGCGGCCGAGGAGGAGAGACGGCAAGGGGAAGAGGAGGAAGAGCAGTAGCACGGGTGGAAGGACACCGACCACGAGAAGCATGAGCGGGATGAGGAACAGGGAGAAGCGGGCGAGGCAGGGGCAGGGAGGGCAGAGAAAGCAGGGGAGGAGGAGGAGGAGGAGAAGCAGGCGGAGGAGGAGGAGGAGCGGGGCCCTTTGGACCCTTGGCCATTGGATGGCATTGGACACGTTTCTTGAACAGCAGCAGTGGGACAACTTTGCCCCTGATGCTGCGAGGTCAGCTGACGCTCAGGGAGGTGGTGGAAGTGGTGGATCCTCGTGAGCCAGTGCGCCACCCTCTGTGGACAATGAGAGCCCCCACTGCATTGCATGATCCATCAGTGCGACCCTGCGTCCCCAGCGGTGGACAGTAACAGAAAGGAGGAGCGGGAGGAGAGGAGGGAATTACATAGACACCAGGTCGATCGTGTGTTGTGTTCCGGTCTTTCTCCTTGATCCTCTGATCGCGAACACCTCCGTAGACGCGACGGGTCTCGCTGGCCTGCGCTGGTGCAAAGCAGGTGGGGGGAGAATGGGAAAGGGAGCTGTCTCACTTCGCCCTGGCTGTGTGGACCCCCCTTCGTGTGGTATGCAGAGGCAGAAACCCGGCACACAACGGGGCTCTGCCTTGATTGCTCGCTGATTCAAGCCGGGGGCTTGGAACGCCCAGAGAGCGCTTCGCTCAATTCTCCCGCCCGATCCGCCTGCCACTTCAGGCTGGCAGTCCTTTTTGTTCCAGGAGGCCAACGGAGTCGCCCCCACGGGCCCTCCCGTTCTGGACGCTGGCGTTCTGCAGGCGCCTTTAGAATGAATCGGATGCACTGCAGACCCGCAACCGAAGCTAGCTACAGGGGCAGTAGGCCAAAGCTGCTTCCGCGGCAAATCGGGAGGAATTGCTGCAGGCGTTCGACGAGGACCGCCATCCCTGCTTGCGAAAGAACGGAGGCACCGGAGCATGCAGCTGTGTCCTCCCGCGCAAGCCAGGCGACCCCAGCCAGCCGGGCGCGCTCTTCTGTGGCAGCCTCAAGCGGCGGCTCTGCGTCCCAGTCTGCCCCTCTGGCTCCCGCTGCCAGCACCGCTGTGAGGATGGAAGTCTTTGCAACGAGGCCTTCGACCCGCACGGCTGGCACGCAGTCAATGCGAGGTGGGCGCGTCACGCAAGCAGCGCCATTACAATTGCCGCGACTGGCATTCCGTGAACCACAATGAGCTCACAGGCCTCGCGGCGCCCACGGAGCAGGCCGCCCCTGCTTGGGATCGCCGCCGCCCCCGCACTGGGGAGCTGCAACAAGCTGTCCTCGATCTCTCCACCAACGACCCAGCCAACGGGCGCCAAGTCTACGTCGATTGGGTAATCACTTGCGTGCACTACGCTCCATGCAGGCGTGCCCCAGCAGACAGAGTCGGCTTGGCGGCCGCCCTAATGGTGGAACAAAATGCAAGCGCTGTGCCCTCCACCCAGGGGCGAGCTAGTCCCTTTTGTTTTCGAGACAGGGGGCCGGCCCAGCGATTAAGCCGCCAGCTTCGCCCGCAGATGCGGAGCCGACCTAGATTACAGCGAACGCTCCGAGCTGCTGGGCGGCCTCTGGCGGCAGATCCGCAGAAACCTCCAAAAGGGTAGTGCTGATATGCTGCTGAGCGCACTCGGGCGCTAGGCGAGCAGCCCCCCGCTTCCGCTTGGTCCACCGCAACCGCCGCCAGCACAGTGAACACCACAAGCGGCCGCGACCACAACCGCGCACCCAGACCAGCACGACAACCACCGCCGCCACCACAAACACCACGCCGACGATTTTGAACACGACGACCACCACGACCGCCGACGCCACGACCTCGACCAGCGCCGGCACGTTCACCACCGCGACCACCGCCGACCGGCGCCATGACCGCCGCCACTGCCATTATCACCACCGCCCCCCCACGGCCGCCCCTCTCGTTTCCTCTCCATGCCCCTGCCTGGCCGCCCTTGCTGCCGCGCGCGCCTAGCGCTTCGCCTCCGCCTTCGGCCTCGCGCCTCCCTCTCCTCCTCTGCCTCCCCTGCAGGTTGCCCCCGGCGCCTGCGCCGCTTTGCCCGCTCGGGCGGTTGGCGGTGGTGTTTTTTGCACCCAGGGCCGCCGTTAGCCGCCCCACCGGGGCCCAGTTGCCCCTTAGGTGCTTCGGATCTCGCCCCCTCGTCTTCTGAGAGGAGGAAGGAAGAGGATGGACCAGTGCACACCCAAGATTCATCAACGATGCTGAAAGACACCCTTCCTCAAAGATGCCGCTTCTAGGCCCCTGCAAGGAGTCATTTGCATTGAAGGAAATGCCACGTCGGGGAACAACCGCGCGAACATTTGGAAGCCCGCCACAATGTCATTTCCAGGAACTTCAGCGTCACGAGTTAATATGACTTCTACGTCTTGGCGATCCTGAATCGTGCCAGAACACCACGCTTGGGACCTCAACACCGCGAATCAACGTAATCGTTGCGCCTTGACAGTCCTGAATCCTTCAATAAGAAAGTTTCTGGTGCGTCCGCAGCGAAATCAATGGAATGCTTGCAACTGTTCAAAACTGATGTTCGCGGCGCTTTTGCGAGAGCCACATTTGAAAACCACCCGCCAACAATCATTGAAACCTTTTGCGAAGTTTTTTATATAACAAACATTATCCTGGCAAAGCAACCTAACAGCGATGTGTATAAACATATCTGGAAACATTCCCTTTAAGATTCAGGTGAGAATCCAGTTGTAGAATTCTGCTGTTTTCGCAATCGCAGTCGCATTCGCAATGGCAGTCGCACTGGGAACGGCCTTAGGACCCAATGGAATCCTAAGGATTCCTGAGGATTCCTAAGGCATCCTTAGGCATCCTTAGGAATCCATAGGACTCCTTAGGAAATCTTAGGAATCCTTAGGCAGCCTGATTCCTAGGGATTCCTAAGGATTCCTAGGGAACCCTAAGGATTCCGAAGGATTCGCCTGCCTCGGCCTCAGCCTCAGCCTCAGCCTGCCTCAGCCTCAGCCTCAGCCTGTCTCAGCCTCAGCCTGCCTCAGCATCAGCCTCAGCCTCAGCCTCAGCCTGCCTCGGCTTGCCTCGGCCTCAGCCTCAGCCTGCCTCGGCCTCAGCCTCAACCTCAGCCTGCCTCAGCCTCAGCCTCAGCCTCAGCCTGCATCAGCCTCAGCCTCAGCCTGCCTCAGCCGCAGCTAGCCTCAGCCGCAGCCTGCCTCAGCCTCAGTCACAGCCTCAGCCTCAGCCTCAGCCTGCCTCAGCTTCAGCCTCAGCCTCAACCTGCCTCGGCTTGCCTCAGCCTCAGCCTCAGCCTCAGCCTGCCTCGGTTTCAGCCTCAGCCTCAGCCTGCCTCAGCGTCAGCCTCTCAGCCTCAGCCTGCATCAGCCTCAGCCTCAGCCTCAGCCTCAGCCTCAGCCTCATCCTGCGTCAGCCTCAGTCTCAGCCTGCCTCAGCCTCAGCCTGCCTCAGCCTCAGACTCAGCCTTCCTCGGCCTCAGCCTTCGTCAGCCTCAGCCCAGCCTGCCTCAGCCTCAGCCTGCCCAGCCTCAGCTTCAGCCTGCCTCGGCGTGCCCCAGCCTCAGCCTCAGCCTGCCTCAGTTCGGGCATTCAAAATATGGCACAGGATTAGTGTTCTGGGAACACGAAGATCACGAAGTGGCCCACAGTTGGCCCCGGGCAATCAAAATATGGTATAGGAATCGTGTTCTGGGAACACGAAGAACACGAAGTGGCCTACAGTTGGCCCCGGGCATTCAAAATGTGGCCTGGGAGATGTGTTTTGGGAACACGAAAATCACGAAGTGGCCCACAGTTGGCCCCGGGCAATCAAAATGCGGCCTGGGAATGGTGTTCTGGGAAGACGAAGAACACGAAGTGGCCTACAGTTGGCCCTGGGCATTAAACATGTGGCTTGGGAGTGGTGTTCTGGGAACACGAAGAACACGAAGTGGCCTACAGTTGGCTCTGGGCATTCAAAATGTGGCCTGGGAGTGGTGTTCTGGGAATGGATTCCTAAGGATTCCTAAGAATTCCTAAGGATTCTAAGGGTTCCTGGGGCTGACGTATCCGTCCGGTTTCTTGTCCGGATCCCGCCCAGACCCCCTTGGGGCGTCAATATGTTTTCTTTTGATCCCACTAGAAACCTATCAGCAAAAACTGTTAGGTAAAAACTCGAATGTATGCGCGCGGCGCCACGGAGAGAGTCACATTGTGAACACGGCCCGCCCTCAATCCGCGAAGCTCATGCACATGTTTCAAGCAAGGCAATGTGCGCGGCGTTACGGCGAGAACCACAGTGAAACAACCCGCCCACAGTCCGTGCAAGTGTTGAAAAAGAATGCACGCGGCGCTTAGGCGAGAACCACATTGTGAAAACGACCCGCCCTCAATCCGTGAAGCGCTTGAAACATGTACAACCTATGTGCGCGGCTATGAGGCGAAAGCCACATTTTGAAAACCACCCGCCCTCAATCCGTGAAGCTCTTGCCAATGTTTAAACCGAATGTGCGCGGCGCCAAGGCGAAAGCCACACTATGAAAACGACTCGCCTTCAATCCGTGAGTCTTTTGCCTTGTAACTACTTCGCGCGGCGCTCAGGCGAGAGGCGCAGGGGAAGCGACCCGCCCTCCATTTGTGAAATGGTTGTCAATGTTTAAGCATAAAGGTCATAAGTAGTGAGGAAGTCTCAGGTGAAACGCCTGGCCCGCCCTTTCGACCAGCCCCTCAGAGTGCGACGGACGAGTGATTTTGAGGGAAAAAATGGAGGAGGAGGAGGAGGAGGACTGGGAC